GTGGGCTCTGCTCTGCAACAGCATTTGAATTATTGAAAGCAACCCCCCGTGGAGACCTATTTGCTGCAAACGCAGGAGGATTTATTTCCATTTTGTTTATCAGATGGCATAAGTGCTGGATGGAGGCAGGGAAGTGGTCCTGCTCTTTTTGTTTTCCCCCTGAACCAGCACAGCAGAGTGAAGAGGTGCTGTGCAGAGTGCACTAGGGAAAATGCCACCCCTCTGAGGTGGGGACAGGTTGGGAACAGAAGTACTGGGTATAACTGGCTGCTCTGCCTCACTTGTCTCCCTGGCTCTGGTTGAATTCCCCACTGGTTGTTCTGTGCCTCAGTTTACCTGCTGGCAGGGTGAGCTTACAACGCTGCAGTTGTCCATCCAGGCATGACCAGCATTCAGCTCAGGCTGGTCAAGACCCCTGCCAGAAGCCATCGCTCTCCCATGGGAGACACACGTGGCACAGAGGAACCCACACGAGGGGTTTTGACCCCTTTGCAGCCCCAGTTTAAAGCACATATGCAAGGACAGCAGCTGAACATCTCCAAGCTCTGCCCTACCCCACCTGTGCCTGCTGCAGCCACCCAAAACTGGTCTCAAGAGGATGCTCCATCCCGAGGGAGAGCTTAGCACCCACATCCCCCAGGATGGCATCACCCTCCCAGCGCAGCAGAGCTGCTTCCAGGTGCAAGGGCAGGGCTGGGTCTGCGGAGCCAGGGTGCTCCGGTGTTGCCCAGAGGCCCGTGTGCCTTGGTGGGCCTCCCGGCTGGTGGCAGGGCTCGGCGGGGCCGGTGGCTTTCCAGGAGATGGCACTGTTTAGCGGCTGATGCCGCCGGTGGCTCAAGGCTGGGCTCTGGGACAGAGATGTAGATGTGCCTCCTGCTTGGAGCCCGGCGGGCAGGTCCCGAACCTCCTGAGCGCAGGGAAGGACGGGGACAGCGTGTTCTCACTGGTGGGTCAGTTCTACCTTCCAAATCTGCTGGGATTTCCCTGCAGACCACAAAGTCCTGTGGCCTGGTGCCTGTTTGGGGTACCTGCTGCCCCCCGGGCTCTGGGTAGCACTTGTGGGGGGTGCAAGGATGGGAGAGGCACCAGCGGTTTCAGGTCGGCTGTCAGAGGAGCAGGGCAGCCTGGTGTCACCGCTGGGTCAGCTGCTTGACCATCTCAGTGGCCTCCTGGCCCACAGTGGTTCCTGGAGAGGTCTGGGGACCTGGATGGTGTCCCTGCACCAAAGGCTGGAGCGGTGGAAAGAGCCGAGGCAGAAAGCAGTTGGGACTGGATGCATCACGAGCTGCAGCTTCAGAGCAGAAAGCAGCTGCTCTGGAGGCTGCCGGGGATGGGGCTGTTTCACCTGCAGTTCCCCCCTGAGCACGCAGAGCTACAAGTGCACAAAAAGTGTGGCCAAAATGCTTGGTGGTGGGAGGGCTGTGCCCATCCTGTGTGTGTCCTTGCAGGGTCTGCGGTCCGGTGGCTTTTGAACTGCATGGTTTGGGCTCCACTGGCATGTCTCTTTGGGGTCCTTCACGTGTCAGCAGGACAAGCTTTGTCCCCAGCCTCACAGTGACCTTCAGTGACCAGAGGAATACCTGCATCCCACTCACTCCAGGCAGCCAGGAGGTGCCAGGGCAAGTGCCTGGGGCTGGTGGCCACGTTAGCACTTCCCGGTCCAGCTGACCCCATCCCTGACGTCAGCTCAACATCTGGGCCAAGCTGCTGCTCTGAGTGCAGGCAGCTGGGCTGGCAGGAGGCACTCAGCCCCCTCCAGCCACACCACTCCTGGAAAACAACTACCTCAAAAAACAGCTAGCTAAGGGATTTGGCACTGCACACTGTCGGGGCACACTCTCTGTCCTCACACTAGCACCAGTTTTGTTCAGGTCCCCTGCACCCTTCAAGTGCCCAGAGCCAAGCAGAGCATCTGCCACCAGCAAAGCCTGGGGGCAGCCCCTCCTCAGGGCAGGAGCTGTGGGAATCACCTGAAGAGCCATCAGCAGAGCTGACCAAACATTTTTAGAGCCAACAAATAACCTCAATTAAGCTCTGTGGCAGTGACCGATTCCAACTGTGTGGCAATATTGGCTCCTTTAATTTTTAAGTGGCTGTGAATGGTAAGACTGGGAGCTGGGGTGGGGGATATCAGCCCTCTCCATGCCCCTGGGGCTGCTCTGCTGCCCCACATCTTGTGTCAAATGCTGGCCCAAGGTGCCAGCCTGTGATGCAGACAGCCCTCTCCTGCACTGGCACCCGGGGAAAATGGGAAACACAGCCCCCAGTTTGCTTCATTTTGGCCAAGGGCTCTTGCTCAAGCTGCTGCCCCCTTCTCTAGCCCCCATGCCCCTACTGCCCTCCCTGCAGGGCAGGAGAGGGAGCCAGTAGCATCCCCTGCCAGGTACCTTGGAGATACCACAAGGACTGGCTGGGGAGCTAAGAAGGGCAAGGGCTGAGGCTGAAATGCAGATGTACATCCATGCCCAGGCAAGGCATTACCCCACAGAGCACATGGAGAGCCAGGGACTGGGGTCCAACACATGCGACCCCCACCCCAGCCATCCCAGTGCTGCACCCACACCCAGCACGACCTGGATTCATGCCGACGAGGGCAGGGCAGGCAGGGGAGCCTGGCCCTGGGGAGGGTTGGCATGACAGCCCTGGCCAGGGGCCAGCCCTGGGCACTGTAGGGGAGACCAGCGAGCAGCACATGTCTGCTGAAGCACAGGGATGCTCTCATGTTTCCCCGAGGCAGCCTCAGCCTGAGCATGGCCCAGTTCCACCAGCCAATCTGTGTGTGAAACAGAAGGATCACAGAATCTTAGGGGTTGGAAGGGACCTCAAAAGATCATCCAGTCCAACCCCCCTGCCAGAGCAGGATCACCCAGAGCACATCACACAGGAACACGTCCAGGCAGGTTTTGAATCCCTCCGGGGAAGGAGACTCCACAACCTCTCTGGGCAGCCTGTTCCAGGGCTCTGTCACTCTCACAGTAAATAAGTTTTTTTCTGATGTTCAGGATGGGTGAAAATACCTCAGCTTTTTCAAAAGCAGGTTTTGCACCCAAAAAAAAAAAAAAAAGCAAAATAAAAGCCAAGCTCATATTTCTGTCCCTGGTATCTCCCAAATACTCTCCGACTCTGAAGTAGCAGTCCCAGGAGGATACTATTAAGCTGTTAGATGGAAGAAGACATGAAGATATGGGTGGTTTTTGCATTTCCCAAGTGAGAAGGGGTTTGATGCTGGTGAGGACAGGCAGGCCAGCCAGCAGGGCAGCAGTTCTGCTGGCTGTGCCCCATCAGGCTGTGGCGCAGAGGCCAGGGCTGGCCCAGCCTCACTGGCTGCAGGAATTTTGCTCCGCTGCCAACTCCAGACAAATCCCTTTTATTTGCTTGTTCAGGTTTTGATGCTGTAATTGCATCGTCTGAGCCAGCTCTCGAGAGAAAGAGGAAGAGAAGAAAAGAAAACACAAGGGAAGGAAAGCAGTGAGGCACCCGAGCCTCTCGCATTCTGACTGCTCCTGCCTGGGGATAGGCCAACTCCTTCCTGCCAGGGTCTGGTTCCCCACCACAGCTCTGGACCTCCCTAGAGCTGGGACAGAGTAACTGGAAAGGGTTTGGTCCGCAGGGAGGTTTCAAGTCTCAAAAGTCCTGAAAACGCTGCTGGTCAGGGGGGGCAAAGCCCACCTTGGGTGTGAGCTCAGCCCTTGGATGCCCGTGGGAATGAGTCCTAACAGCCTTTTATGAATGAGCCTAACAGGCATGAAGCAGCACAGCACAGCTCTGGACTTGTTCCCACCCTCCCCCAAAATGACAATTTGCTCTAAATCACCAGTTCTGGAAGGCAGGTTAGTTTTCTTTAAAAACTGAGCATTTCCAGTGGGAAAGGGGCTTACCTGTCCTTCCCCAGCCAGGTACAGATCTGCTCTGCCCCCTTCATGCTAACAGGGCTGTGGTCACCTGAGTGGAGACATTGGTGCCATGAAGCACAGGACCCTCGGATGAGGGTGGGCAGAGGTGGGATGGGACCTAAACTGATGAGGGTGCAAGGTGCCTGATGCATCCCCACCACACAGGGGATGGTCTGATGGGGATCCCCCATCCCCAGTGGGGTGAGAGAGGCAGGACCCAGCAGGTGTGAGCATCTGGATGGGCAGGAGGGCTCCTCAACCCAAGAACCCCACAACAAACTAGATGGCACCGACAGCATTTGCACCCTCCCTCACCTCCAGAATAATCCTTGCGGATACAGGACAGTCTGGTCTATGTTGGTTTTGACCTACATGTATTAACTAACATTAACTGAAATGGCAGAGTAAAGAGCTACTGGGAAGGAAAAACACCAAATCAGTTGAAAAAGTCCCAAGTGTTTCTGACCATGTACGTGGTTGGGCCAGCATTGCCAAGGGGAGCAAAGACAGCACTGAAAACCACAAGTGTTTGTTTTTCTCAAATCACTACTTTTCTGGCTAAAAACAAACTGGGAAAGAAGGATATTTTGGCAGCAGGTTCCCCAGGTCCTGGGGAGAAGCTCGGCTGTCCCTGCCTTGGGAGATGATACACACAGTGTCGCAGCCAGGTCCCAGTCCTTGGCTCCAGCTTCCCTGGAAAACTCTGCACAGAGATGAGATGCGCTGGCCTCCCTCTCCTGGAGGAAGGGGAGGCTGCCTCCAATCCCAGCACCAAGTCCCCATCACACACAGAGTGGATGTTTCTGCGGAGTCCCATCTGCCACCACATCCCCACTCAGTACCAGAGGACAGACCCACCAAGCTATCAAGCAGAACCACCCTCAGTCCCAGCCCTGCACCATCAACCAGCCAGTGTCACCTCCCCAAGCACCCCCAGCAAAGGGATGTGTCACCCAATCTCCCACCCCAAAGAAGAGGCTGCTGTGCCAGGACTGTTCAGAGAAGGAATTTTGGGCTGGGGAATGCTTGCTCCGGAGATGTCCCCAGCCCCCAGGAACAGCCACTGTGGGCAAGGTGATCTCTGCAGCTGAAGATCCTGTCTCTGGGCTAGTAATAGTCCTCCTCGCTCTCCCCATAGTCCTCAGGCGTCATGTGGGGCTTCGGCAGGGAAAAGCCTGTCAGGTTGAGCTGGTCTGAAATGACAGCACAGGGACGATGTGACATAGCTGCCTCACCCCTGGCAGTGCCTGTCCCTTTCCCACCAGGACCAAAGCCAAACCATGCACAGCATCTTGCTGGGACATCCCCAGCACAGCCCTATGCATCGGCAGCTTCCACCATAGCAGTACACCCTGCCCAAACATCCCTTCCCTTGTCCCCATGAGAGCAGGAGGACAAGGAGACCATGCTCACCTGGCGTTAAGACGGTCAGGCTGGCTAATGCCATCACCTCCCCGACCCTGTTCCTGGCGAAGCAGCGGTAGGTGCCTTCATCCGTCACCCGCACGCCCTGGATCTGGAGCCAGCCTGTCACTTCATATTTCTGGGGGCCACCTCTGAACTGAGAGGACAGAGATTTTGGTCAGCACAGGAGCCAGGAAAGCCCTACATAGGACTGGGACAGACAGGAAGGGGGATACAAGCCCAGGGAGACCCTTCAACCCGCTGCCTAAGAACCAACCGCTTGCACAGGCTGCCTGGGACAGTTCAGAGGAGCCCTAAGCTGCCCATTTTCAGCAGGCAACGGCTCTGGCGCCAGCCACGCTATTTTCTGTTTGTTCCCAGCAAGAAATAACTTTTTCCTGACCCAGCTGTGCTGCAGCTGTGTTTGCAGGCTACTATTATGGTGCAGTGGCCAAGGGCGGAGGACAGCTGAGTCTCCTCCAGCCAGGCAGGGTAGGCCTGCTTGGGGTGAAGGTCCTTGGCCAGATCCAAAGACAGGCTGTGGTGTAGCGGGAAGAACAGAAATACAGAGGGGGACCAACACATCACCCCACAACGCTGCTGGGTCACACCTGCTCTCCTGGCTCCCTCCATCTATGCCACCACAGTTTCCTCCCCACCAGTGCCTGTTGTGGTGCACAGCCCCTGTGTGCCCACACCCTCCAATAGCTGGATACACCCAGCTAGGCACTATATTTGTGGCTGGCCATGGGCAGGTTGCCAATCCCTGGGCCTGCCAGCTCTGGCAGAGCAACAGGCAGAAAGAGGTCAGGGACTGCCTGAGTTTGCTGGTGGAAGAAGATAACCCAGGCTGGAAGGGGCCTTGGGAGGTCTTCTCCTCCAGCCCTGCCAGTGGGGGTGCAAGTGAAGCCAGCAGACAGAGCAAACTAAAGGCAGAGAGTTGGGAAAATCCCTGCTACAGGACTTTGCAGGTCCTAAAAAATATTGATAAATTCAAGAACTACGAGAGAAAATTACAGAAGAGAGCTGTGTTCCTACCATTGAGAAATCAGCCAGTCCTCATGGTGTGCAGGCTTAAGTCACCCCTTCTCATCCCCAGGCAGCCAGGCTTGGCCACCCCCAGATGATGACCATCCAGGTCTGGTTGCCCATGAGCTCTGGAAAGAACTGGGTCACCCCAAGGCCATATCCAACATCCCAGGCACACCACTCACCTGAACAGAGATGTGGGGGTCATCTCCAGGTAGCAGCATCTCCATGCCATCCTTCCTCCACTCAATGGATGCCATGGGGTAGGCAAAGACCTCACAGCCAAAGATGACGTCCTGCCCGGTGACGTTCCATGTGTCGTAGGGAGGAGAAGTGATCTGAGGCTCTGGGAAGTGGGGACAGGAGAGCAGGGTGGGCTCAGATGAGGTCCCAAAGGCTCTTCTGGGCTGGTCTGAGCTACTTCCCTCTGGGATGGGATCACTTGGCTCACAAAGAAATGCCAGGACCCTCCCCATATCTCTCTCCTCCTCCCACCAATAGCAGACCCTCACCTTGCCCCAGAACACAGTTCCTCCTCACAGTCAGGATTGGGGGCTCTTTCCCCAGCCCCCCTGGCCCAAATACCTCCAGGTCCCACATCCTTTCCCAAGAGGGATGGAGTGAGCAGTGTCCTTCCCACCCACCTCTGCTTCAGGATCTGGCCCTGTAGTGTGAGACAGAGACCAAGGGAAGGCCTTCACCTCCAAATATACCTGGTGGAAAAACTCAAGGACATGATGATCTATGGATAATCCAGTCAGCCTTGATGCCCCCTGGGCTGTGGTGACAGCACTGGGCAACATATGTGGACTGGGCAGACTGGGGCATGGCCTCCCTGCCACTGCCTGCCCCCAGCCTCCTGCTGGGTTTTAAATGGCAGATGGAAATCATGCAGTCCAGTCACACTGACCTAGGTTTCCATTTGCAGAAGGAAGCCACATTTCTCAGGATTGCTGGGCCAGCCTGAACCCGGCATCACTGCCAAGAATTCGCTAACAATTCCCTGGAACTTCCCCATCTACTCCAGCAGGATTTGCTGCTTCCCATAAACCCTGCTTCCACTTGGCAAAGCTGCTTCCAGACCTCTCCAGGTGCTGGATTTACAGGGGTTGCCCCAGAGCAGCAGAGCTGCAGGGACCCAGAGAGAGGGACCGTGGGGGAGTGGGTACCCTGGATGCAGGCCCTAGTCCTGCCACGACCCCGTGGACACTGTGGTTTTGCTGCCAGGTGAAGCAGATAAGCCAAACCTCCTGGCTTTCCCTTTCTGAGAGGTACAAGACTCTGTCCCGCTGCCCACATAGCCACTCCCAGGGCACTACCTGACTCGCAGGGCCCCTCATGGGCCACAGTGAGGTTGGCATCAGGGTGGGCACGGGCAACCTCCAGGAACCTGCAGATCTGGGCGTAGGTTTTGCCATCAGAGCCGCAGAGGGCCAGGTGGGAGAGGCAGGCACACTGAGGCTCGGGCACCTCTCCACGCTGCAGGTCCCCGGTGTCCAGCCGGCACTCCAGGTGCTCCCCACACTTGCCATAGAAGTGGTTGGTGTTGTCCAGATCGCAGATCTGTCCCTCCAGGTTGGCACATTCCCAGCAGCAGTCACAGGCATCCCGCACTGTGCCAGCCAGGCATCCACGTGGCACTGGGCACTCCTCTGGCTGGCACTCAGTGCAGCCTTCCCCTTCCTCCAGCAGCCGCTGCCAGCCCCGCTGCAGGTAGTCGGAGGTGCTGGGAAAAGCCTGGCCCGACTGGAGCAAAGCCCAGTGCAAGGAGAGTAAGGAAAGCATGAGGCAGGAGGAGCTCAGGGTCTTGGCTTTAGACATCCTCATGGCAGCTCCTCTATCCTGGTCCCACCATCACTTGGTCATCTCCAGCACTGCTCTGGCCCCCCTGGCTAGATCCAAGAAGCCATCCTGGCCTGTGAGATGGGAGAACATGCGTTACCATTGCAGGGAGAGTCTCCCACCCCTCCAAGTCCCAGCTGGTTTGCCTTGAGCAAAGGGCTGTGTGATGTGCAGGGGAGGACTGTTCCCAGTCCCTCACCCACAGCCGTGTCCTTGCCATCCTGGGGCTCCTCAACTCCTGCCAGGCTCCTCAACCAGCTCCCACCCTGATACACTGAACATCCTCCGGTGGGACAGAGGCCAGACCCACCAGATTTCATCCTGTTTCCCTGGCAGCCCAGTGGGCAGAGCCCAACCTGCTGTGACCCCACCACAGCCCAGGAAGCTATGGGGCTGGTCGGGGGCTGGACAGGCTGATCCACACCATCATGGCTCAGATGGTTTGTACCCTGCTCCTCAACTCCTCTAGGGGAGCCATTCTTCAGCTAGACGCCCTTTTCCTTTCCCCATCGCTTTCCAAGAGTCACGAGCCCTTTTTTCCTCCCTCACTGTCCAGACAAGTTCAGTGGAGCGGCTGATGCAGACAAGGGGCTCTTTCCATGCTGGAGGCAGCCAGCCGAGAAGAGCCAAGCCAGCAGGATGCTCCCGGTCACTCCTGACTTTTGTCCTCCTCCCCTCCCCATGCAGTAACCCCTCTTTTTTAGGCACCTCCCACAGGAGCAAGGGCTGAAACATCCCCCAGGAATGTTTTGTGAAGCCCCTGGTTATCACACAAGCAAAGGCTGAGCATGGGGGAACTCAGCGCACAAGTGGGCAGGGAGTGGACTGGCAGCAGGCCCAGCATGGTCAGCCTGTACCAGCATGACAGGGTCCCTGTCCCCAAACCCCAAACCCTACGTTACCACCCAGGTAATATGAGAGGCTGATCTGCACCTGAACTTCCCATCCCTGCCTTGGGGATATGTGGAGTCTTGGAGCCCATTTCCAGAGGGGTGACAATCAACTGAACCCCTTTACGAGCACATCCCACTTACTCTCTATGAGATGAAGTGAAATTATTGTCCCCTGCTCCGGGGCCACCCAACACGAGTGAGCCAGGCTGGGGAGGGGATCCAGGCAGCCGGGCTGCCCCCTCTTCTCCTGCTGGGAATAGCACCAAAGGGCAGGCTGCAGCCTCCCCAGCTACACGTTGCAGACCCCCTCCTACCCTCCGGGATTAATGCAGCCCAGAGCAGGCATGATGGGGATGGCCAGGTCGGCAGGTTTGCCAGGTTACACACACATGCACCCCCCGGATAACCGCCTGCAAAGTTTTGACCCGTGTAGTGGAGACCACCGAGTTACCCAGGGGTAGAATGGGGCAAGAAGTATGGTGCCAGAGCCCCTCAAGCCCTCCCTACCCCGGGCTGCGTAGAGCAAGGCTCCCGTTCGCAAAGGATGTGGGTGCCGGGGAAGGGGAGGATAACGGCAAAGTTGGGCTCTCTGGCTCCCTACGTCCAAGGTGTAGGCGAGGACTGGCTCTGGGTGTCCCGGCTGAGTCCTGGGAAGAGGCGCGGTGTCCCCCGGGGTCCCCCTGGAGCCCCCCTTCCGTGAGGCTGCACTTACCGGAGGAGCGGGGGCCGCGGGCGGGCGCGGGTGCGCA